TCGGACCCCCACCCCTGTATTTTTTTTTGGGGGGTGCCAGGCGCGCCGGCCGGTGTTTGCCGTTGTGATTTGTGTTTTCTACATGTGCTGGTGGTGGTTGCGCTTTTGTTTGCGGCACAGCGCGTTGCGCTCTGGCTGCGGGCCTCTGCCTCCCATGGGGTGGGACCGCCCAGGTGGGTGGGGTGGAAGGGGATATGTTTGATCGTACCCTCCCCCTTCACACCATGGAGTAAAGTGGTTGGGTGTGTGGTTTGGTTTTTTTTTTTTTTTTTTTTGGTGATGTGTTGTGGAGGAAGAAGAGGCGAACCGGCATTCTGAGGAAAAAAATAAAATAATAGTAATAAGGATAAATAAAGAGGTAATATGTCTGTGTGAGAGAGAGTAATTGTGTGTGTTACCTCTGTTTGAAAAGAGTGGCATGGTATTACAGTGATGTATGCAGTCATTTTTGTTATGGTTGTGGGTGAGTGGGTTTTGGATTCCAATTGTGGTGTGGATATTGTGGTGATGCATTGGTTTCTTTTTTTTTTTTTCTGTTTGGAAGTGTGTGTTAATTATTGTACAGTCTCTTTGTTTTGCTGATGATTTGTGGTATTGTTTTTGTTTCTTGCCAGGCGTACACTGGGTTTTTGGTGTATTTTGGTGTTCAAACTGCCTGGTAATGGTTTTATTATAATGAGAATACAGACACACTTTGTGTGTATGAATACCGAGTAAGATATTGGAGTATGTGTAGAGACGTTTATTCAATATTGTTTTGATACCATTTGTTTTCCATTTCTTCTAAATTCAAGGTGTCGTTTTAATGTCTGTGTAACTCTGGGTGTGTTTTATTGTGTGAGTGGTTTAATTGTTGTTTCCCTCATTGGGTTGTGTCGTTTGATTGCTGTTGTGATGTGTACTCTCTCTCGCTCTGGTGCTGTGTACCCACTACCTTGTGTGTTAAATGTGTGTCTCTTTTCTCCTTTTCCTCTTTTTTCTTGTTACCACAGATCCAAGCAACTCACAGTGACAATCATGACAACGATGCTTAAACAAATGCGCCGTATAGTGTACCTGTTGGTACTTCTCCAATGCTGTGTGTGCGTGGCATTTGCGGAAGAATCTTCGAGCAATGGAGTTTCGGAAGCAGAACGGTTGCCAAAGGAGTGGGTAAACAAGGCGAGAGAGATGTTGAATCTTGCGTACAACGTAACTGCTGGGGGGGAGGGTTGTCTGAATGTGTGGGAACGCGTTGTAAAAGAGAACGAGGAGACGGTTTCACGTGCACATGACGGCGTTAAGAATATAACTGACCTGGTGAAAGAGATAAGGGTTAAGATGATTTCCGATTACCCAGAAGATGGGAGTAGAGATAAGGAAATAATGTTGAATATGACGGAGGAGGACTTCAGCGTGGAGGATGCGATAGAGTTGTTGAAGAAGATGGAGAAAGCGCTGGAAGGAAACGAACCTCCCGTTGCGTCGGCAGAGGCGTTGGAGAAAATGGACCGCGCTACGCACGTCTGTGTAAATGCGCTTAACTCCATTGAGGACGCCGAGAGGGGTATTGAGGGAGTTTTACCGGAATTCCATGGTTTTAGAGAGGACGTGGAAAAGATTACGACATTGAAGGATCTTGAAACAGATTGCAAAGAAGCACTCAAGCGGCTATCGGATGTCAAAGAGCAGCTCGAGTTACAGAAATTAAACGCTACTCACGCTTTGGAAAAGGCCAAAGGACAGGTGAGTGGGTGGGAGAATGCGATGACAACCCTCATCAACCTTGGCAACTTTACCCCAGAGGAAGCCCTCAAGGTAACCAAAATTGAGCATCATGTTGAGTCCAGGCAGCCCGTGTCAGAGAACATGAAAGTAGAGATTAGGAATAGTCTGAGTAACATCAAAAACAAAAGCGAGGCAGAAAAAGAAAAGATGTGTGGGAAAGAAAACGTCACCACAACCGAACGAAGGGAAAAAGCCGTTGAGGAGATAGATAAGGAGGTGGCTGAGGAATTTAAGAGTGCGACCGAGCGTATAGAAAAAGAAAGGAGGTTGGCAGCGGAAGAAAAAGCAAGGAGAGCCGCAGAAGAAAAGGCGAAAAATGACAAAAAGAAGGAAGATAACAGTGTCCGTCCTTCTTTGATGCACAGTCCCTTACTGCTGCTTCTGTTGTGTGTGTTGGGTTGCACTCTCGTTTGCTAAGCAGTGTTCCCATAACACAGATGCACAGTTAACCTTTGTTTGACTGGACATGGGTGCATTGTAAGGAGACTGTTCTTTTTGGTTGAATTTTATTGTTTTTGTTTTCTCCAACAAGGTAAGTCCCTTGTTTTCATTATATTGTTTTTCCCTTTGTGTGGTTCTGCTCTGTTCTGCTCCACCTGGTGGTGTGCTCCTCAGTCGAGCCAATAGGCGTGGTGCTTTGTGGTTTCCCTCACCGTGCAGCAGTGCACTGCAGACCAATTGTTTTATACACTCTTCCCATCTTTCTTGTCTCTGTTTTTACAGTGGACTAATTTTGATCCTTATATACTGCTTTGTTTTTCCTTTTTTGTTTCTGATACACCTTGTGTATATTGTGTGTTTATTTTCGTGGAGTGAATTTTTTGTTATATACAAAAGTACTGGGACAGTATAAATAATATATATGGTTACTACACATTCACTATACAATAGTTTTCCGCTTGGTATTATACGGTAAATATTGCTGTCTCCAGGCATTGCAACCACAGTAACGTATGAATTTCTTTTTTACTTTTCGTACTTTTAATTGTGTCTGCCTCACGCAGTCACTCTTTTTTTACATTTTTATTTTGGTATAAAGATTGGTGGATTGTAGGTGTTTGAGTGTGCCCCTCTGTTGTGTGTTCCTTTGTGTGTTTGGGGTTACTACTCACACCGCCCACGTAATGAAAACACATTTCTTTCCCACATTCTCTCTCGGTGTCACTCGCGGCATTGCCACGGAGATATTTCTTCCCTTGTGGTGTGTGGCTTGTTTGAGTGACTGCAACCTGCGGGGTGGAGTGAGACTGTTCCGCTTCGGCTTCACGTGATGGGTCTGTTTTTTTCTGAGTGTGCTGGTGTGGGTGAATGTTTTTCTCTGATGAGAGTGGCAGCTGTGATTATTGTACTGTGAGTGCTTTGTGTACTGTTGGTATCCTGTTGTTGTTGTTCTTTTCTTGTGTTTTTCTTTTCCCCTTTGTAGGTGTGTGACTTGGTGTACATTTTAGGGAATGCCATAGTGCCTCTCTGATATGGGCGTGTGGGACTGTCATTTTGTGTGTGTGCACTGTGAGTGGGAAGGGCACCGTTGTGTTGCTGGACCACTCCACTACTGCGTCTGTGGGGTTTGTGTGAGCGGCATGTTTCGCTTCGGCGGGGCTCGAGGGGCACTTTACGTCCCGAGGCGCTGAACCTTGAGGCCTGAAATATCATGCTCGGGGACTTTGAACTTGAGAGAAAAAGAAGAGTGAGGATGAGGAACAAAAAGGGATGAAACCCGGCAACCAGTCACGCGCGCAATGCTCGAGGCTCGTTGTCGGGTTTTGCCCTTTTCTTTTTTCATCCCTCACCCCAAGAAGGGGGAGGGAACACAACCCCCACAACCCAAGGCAGGCGGCCAACTTGTCACAGCGCCTTGTGCGCAACAAGAAGAAAAGGGGTGGAGGGAGTGACTCCTGGGGGTGTTTCACTTATAAAATGAGTGGGGTTGGGCATTGCCGAAAACCTTTCAAACCCATCTCTTACTATGCGTTGAAGTAGGGAAAGAAAGAGTTTTCCACCAAGATGACCCTTCCCCGTTCCCCTAGTGACATGGTGCCGCGTCCCGCCGAATAAAAGGTGCTGTTGGATGGCCGCGCCATGAACAAAGAACAAGGGGGTGGTGTGGTGAGAGTCCTTCCCTATGATAAAGGCAAATTCCGCTATGGTGATGCGTAAAGACGTTCCGCTACTGCCATGTGTAGTGTGAAAAGGAAACCCATGGGAAATGCAGAAAAGGAAAATAAGCACAAAAAGAACATTTCGCCCCATAAGAACACTTTCCCCCATGGGTATTTTTGCTTTGTTGGCACCCCACCGCCCGCCCCACCACAACACAAAGCGTGAGGTATGTTTGGCTTTTCCCTGGGAGATGGAAGTGCGTAAGCTGTGCGCCGCGATTGGGCAGCCCCCATTGCCAAAGGCGAGCCGTGGTTCACTTCAGAGGCTCGCGGCACCTGCCCCAGGATGTTGGCAAAA